GAAAGTTAATGTTTCTTGCTGACTTGAACGCCTCACGTCTCCAGCACTCTGAAATCCAGCTGGTCCAGGGAGCCTGAACGCACCGCTAAACGGCTAGAGACGAGAATCAGTGAGAGATGAGAGGCAGCCGATAAATCAGCTGAATGGTTTTAGGTTTTAATTGCTGTCTTTCGGTGCTTTCAGCTGATCCATCAGAAGGGTCTGAATGTTCACACAGACTGAGCCTCTAATTTGGGCTGATGGGAACCTTCTGGGCTCATCATCTCCTGCTGTAGCTCCCTAAGCCGGTCGGATCAGAAGCGGACCTTTTATCCGCCAGCAGGGCTTCCACGCAACAGCCAGTGGCTTTAGCCAAACATGGATGCCGTCTGCGGCCTTTAACCGGTTGCTGACCTTTGACCTCTGCGTTTCAGGCGTCTCTGCCTCCATAAGAAGAGATCTGAGGCCAAGCAGCCGTTCGCTCAGGTCCTCGGAGTTTCTCTGCTGAAGCCGCTGAAGGGCGTCGACCCAAACCTGATCTCCAACCTGGAGACCTTCTTCACTCTGGACTACCCCAAGGTGAGCGGAACCCGACCCGACCGACCCTGCCGCCCCGCCGCACACATCACCCGATCCGGTTCTAACTGGTTCTGTCTGTGTTCCAGTATGAGATCCTGCTGTGCGTCCAGGACCAGGACGATCCGGCTGTGGACGTCTGTAAGAAGCTGTTGGGGAAATATCCCAACGTGGACGCTGGACTCTTCATCGGTGAGTGAGGAGACGCGTCACTTCCTGTTTCCTGCCGTGTCTCCGCCCCCCAGCCTCACGTCACGCTCCTGTTCCTCTTCAGGTGGGAAGAAGGTCGGGATAAACCCGAAGATCAACAACCTGATGCCCGGATATGAAGCCGCCAAATACGGGCTGGTGTGGATCTGTGACAGCGGCATCAGAGGTCAGAACCAGAACCGGGTCAGCTTGACCCCGATGCTAAACTCTGAGCAGAACCGGGCTTCGGTAGGACAGGATCATAGGGCTGCCTGGGTCCATTCTGGCCGGTTCTGTTCGCTCAGATGGAGGATTTGGGTTTTTATACCAGAATCAGCTGTTGGTTCTGGTAGAACCTGCCCTCAGCTTCAGTGCCTCTCTCAGGCCCCGCCCCCCAGTGGGAGGTTCTGACCCTGTTCTGTTCCACAGTGAAACCCGACACCCTGACGGATCTGACCAACCAAATGACGGAGAAGGTGGGCCTGGTCCACGGCCTGCCGTACGTTGCTGACCGCCAAGGCTTCGCCGCCACTCTGGAGCAGGTGAGGTCAGGTTCTGTGGGCCGAAGGGGGGCGGGGCTTCCTGCTAACGCGGCTCACCTGTGTGCAGGTGTACTTCGGGACGTCCCACCCCCGCTCTTACATCTCGGCCAACGTTACGGGGATCAAATGCGTGACGGGGATGTCGTGTCTGATGAGGAAGGACGTCCTGGACCAGGCGGGGGGGCTGGTGGCCTTCGCTCAGTACATCGCTGAGGACTACTTCATGGCCAAGGCTATCGCAGACAGGTTAGCATTAGCATTAGCACGCCGCAGACAGCTTTCTGCCTCGGTCATGACACGTTTCTTCTTTCCTTCCCAGAGGATGGAAGTTCTCCATGGCGACACAGGTGGCGCTGCAGAACTCGGGCTCCTACTCCATCGGACAGTTCCAGTCCCGGATGATCAGGTAAGCCGCAGACCGCCACTCCGTCGGCCGCCTGTTCAGGACGACGCGTTAATAAGATTTGTTGAAACAGGTGGACCAAGCTGCGGATCAACATGGTTCCCGCCACCGTCCTGGAACCCGTGTCAGAGTGCTTCTTGGCCAGCCTCATCATCGGCTGGGCGGCGCATCATGTGTTCAGGTACGGAAGGCCGTTTTATCCTACAATCAGGTTCTATTTCAACCCACATATCTTCAATCAAGGACTCAGTTAACGAATTGTTAAAAATAATGTGAAAATGTGGCGTCGTCTAATGATCGCGGTCTAACCGACGATATAGAATGACAGTCGTCTGGGGTCACGACACGAACGCAACAGCAGAGGGCGCCAGTGACCTCACTGAGGCTGGGGTCATCTTTCTATTAAAACAGAGAAGAAGTGACAATAATGCAACAAAATGAGAGTCTCTGCCCAGAACGGAGGCGTTTGTCGCTACCCGATCCATACCGGTAGCAAGATCCGTACCATCAGCTCATTTGCGCCTGCGCAAACAGAATAACTTCCGGGTCGCCAAAAAATAGTAATTACGGTACTGAAAAAACGTTATTTATATCCTTAAATAATTAAAGAATACTAAACTACATCGTAAAGACAATATTGAAGACTTTTCTGGAAGAAATGGATGCTTTTTAAATTCAATCCATTGTATTGCTTGACGTCATTTCGGGAAATGTTCCCTTATCAATGAAAAACTGCAGGTCA